TGGTGTCTTAGCTCACAGCAACCTCAAATTCTTGGGCTTGAGTGATCCTCTTGCCTCAGCCTCCCAAGTAGCAGGGATTTCAGGTGCCTACCGCAACGCAGAAACAGGGTCTCACTCTTGCTGAGTGAGACCTGTGAGCTTAGGCAGTCCACCCGCCTCGGTCTCCCAGAGTGCTAGGATTATAGGCATGAGCAACTGCGCCCGGCCTTAGCCTCCCAGATAGCTGGAACTACAGGCACGTGTCACTGTGCCTGGATAATTTTGTCTGTTTTTCACAGGGACAGGGTTTTGGTGCTACTCAAGCTGGTCTTGAACTCCAAGCCTTAAGCAGTCTTCCCACCTCAGCTTCCCAGAGTGCTAGGATTATAGACATGAGCCACCATGCCCAACTGAGTATGATATTTTATTAGAGGACAAAGTGGGCAAAGGCAGGTTTTCTCAGTGTTACTTTTCCCACAAAAGCCGTATTGTTTGGTTCTTTCCTTCTGACTTGTTGCCTCTTGGAATCCACTTGCACCTTAAGGCGGCTGTAGACAGGAATGTGGACAGTGAGGAGGATGTGTACAGAGTGCAGATGAGGGTCACAAGTTGTGGCCACATCAGATGAAAGCAGAGCTTAGGAGCTGCTTTCCTGGGAGCTGGATGGCCTAGGGTGGTAGGAAAGGGGCGCTCTGGCTGTAGGAGAGCACTGGGTGGGGCCAAGTCCCTGCACCGGCTCCAGACGGTCCAGGGAGGGGGGGGGGGAAGTCATCACATATGGGCGGTGCCTGTGGCTCAAGGAGTAGGGCATCAGCTCCATATACCGTGGGTGGCGGGTTCAAGCCCGGCTCCCCAAGTCATCACATAGCACTTGCAGGTGAATTAGGGCTTGTGTCCCATCTTTTCCTTGGTACTATTCTTGTCCTATCCTATCCCTGCTCTTCCCTACCTCCCTGGCCTTTACCACTGCTTCCCTGGAGCATTAGCAGCCCCCACAGATCAGGACTGGCTTTGGCCACTCCTGAAAAAACACCAGTGTTGTTTTCTAGACCTGAAAAAAAGACCAAGGCCCAGGGGCTCCTCCTGTGAGAAGCCTTCCCCAGCTACTTCAGTCAGAGCTATTGCTCTGTGCTTTCAGGGAATGTGGAGTCTGTTAAGGGGTGACTAGGGATAATTCATGGCAAACAGTGCAGCCTTACTAGCCGCTATGGTTTGGGTGTGTCCCCCAAAGTCCGTGTTTTGGAAACTGAATCCCCAATGCCACTGTGCTGGGGGATAGAGGTGGGGCCCAATGAGAGGTGATGAGGCCATAAGTGAGGTGCCCTGTGAGTGGATTAATGCTGTTGTCACAGGCCAGTGCCTTACAAAGAGTGAGTCTGGCTTCCTTTTCTCTCTCTCACCCTCTTGCCCTCTTTTTGCCCTTCTGTTATGCAACCATGCAGCAAGAAGCCCCTCAACAGACATGGCCTCTGAATCTTGGACTTTCCAGCCTTGGAAACCATGAGCCAATACATTTTTTTCCTTTTTGGGGGGGGGGGAGAGTCTCATTTTGTCACCCTCCATAGAGTGCTGTGGCCTCGTAACTTACAGCAACCTCAAACTCTTGGGCTCAAGCCATTTCTTGCCTTAGCCTCCCAAGTAGCTGGGCCTACAGGCGCCCACCCCAACGCCTGGCTTTTCTTAGAGATGGGGTCTTGATCTGGCTCAGGCTGGTCTTGAACTCATGAGCTCAGGCAATCCATCTGCCTCCTCTGAAGTGCTGGGATTACAGGCAGGAGGCACCACGCCCAGCCTTACACTCTTTTTTTTTTTTGAGACAGAGTCTCAAGCTGTAGCCCTGGGTAGAGCGCTGTGGCATCACAGCTCACATCAACCTCCAACTCTTAGGCTTCAGCGATTCTCTTGCTTCAGCCTCCCAAGTAGCTGGGACTACAGGTGTCCACCACAATGCCTATTTTTTGGTCGTAGTTGTCATTGTTTGGCAGGCCTGAGCCGGATTCAAACCCGCCAGCTCCAGTGTATGTGGCTGGCACCTTAGCCACTGAGCTATAGGCACTGAGCCCACTCTTTTTGATCTTAAAAACAATTAAGTCATTCACCTGTTGGCTTGTCCCCGATGGCTGAAAACAGTTTGCCTGGGTAGCCTACTTCTATGCACCAGCCTCCCCCCATTCCTCTCTGCCTGCCATCTTGCTTTTACCTGTAGATAACAAGTTTCCCATTCACCTGCTTCCTTCCTGTCTAGCCTGTAAGACAAGTCCAAAACTACCTCTTCACTGTTAGGGAGCCAATTCATTTTTTGTTTCAGGAAACCAGGTCTTGCTTGGTCATCTAGGCTGAAGTATGGTGGCATCACCATAGCTCATACAACCACCAACTCCTGGGCTCGGGTGATCCTCCTGGGTCAGCCTCCATAGTAGCTGAAACTATAGGCACCTGCCACCATACTGGCTAATTTTTCTGTTTCATTATGTTGCCCAGGCTGGTCTTGAACTCCTGGCCTTAGGTGATCCTCCCAAAGTGCTCAGATTAGAGGCATGAGCCACTATACCTGGCCAACTACTTCATTTTTTCCCCTTTTCATAGAGGGAGGGAGACAGTCTTATTTTGTGGCCTTTGGTAGAGTGCTTTGGCATAATAGCTCACACCCAACTCAAACTCTTGGGCTTGGCTCAGTGTCTATGGCTCAAGCAGCTAAGGTGCCAGCCACATACACCTGAGCTGGTAGGTTCGAATCCAGCCTGGGCCCACCAAACAACGATGATGGCTGCAACTAAAAAATAGCTGGGGGTTGTGGTGGGCGCATGTAGTTGCAGCTACCTGGGAGATGAAGGCAGGAGAATCACTTGAACCCAGGAGTTGGACATTGCTGTGAGCTATGATGCCACGGCATTCTACCCAGGGCAATAGCTTGAGGCTCTGTCTAAAAAAAAAAAAAAAACTCTTGGGCTTAAATGAGCCTTTTGCCCCAGCCTCCCAAGTAGCTGTGACTATGGGCACCCACCACAATGCCTGGCTGTTTTTTTAGAGACAGGGTCTTGCTCTTGTTCAGGCTGGTCCTGAACTCCTAAGTTCCAACAATCCACCCCACCTCATCCTCCCCAGAGTGCTAGGATTACAGGCATGAGCCATAGTGCCAGCTTAACTAGTTGATTTTTTTTTTTTTTTGAGACAGAGTCTCACTTTGTTGCCTTTGGTAGAGTGCTATGGCCTCACAGCTCATAGCAACCTCAAACTCTTGCCTTAGCCTCCCAGGTAGCTGGGAGTACAGGTGCCCTCCACAACACCTGGCTATTTTTTAGAGATAGGGTCTCTTGCTCAGGCTGGTCTCCAACTTGGGAGCTCAGGCAATCCACCTGTCTCGGCCTCCCAGAGTGCTGGGATTACAGGTATGAGCTACTGGCGCCTATAGCTCAAGCAACTAGGGTGCTAGCAAAATACACCAGAGCTGGCAGGGTCAAATCCAGCATGGGCCCGCCAAACAACTACAACCAAAAAATAGCTGTTGTTGTGGGGGGCGCCTGTAGTCCCAGCTACTTAGAAGGCTGAGGCAAGAGAATTGTTCAAGCCTAAGAGTTGGACGTTGCTGTGAGCTGTGACGCCACAGCACTCTACCCAGAGTGACAGGTCGAGACTCTGTCTCAAAAAAAAAAAAACAAAAAACACTACATTAGCCAGTTCTGTAATCCTAGCACTCTAGGGAGGCCAAGGTGGGTGATTGCCTGAGCCCAGGAATTAAGAGACTGGCCTGAGTAAGAGCGAGACCCCCATCTCTAAAAATAGCTGGGTGTTACGGCAGGCGGGCACCTTAGTCCCAGCTACTCTGGAGGCTGAGGAGAAAGGCTCTCTTGCGCCCAGAGTTTGAGGTTGCTGTGAACTATGACGTGACACCAAGGCACTCTATGAAGGGTTACAAAGTGAGACTCTATCTCAAACAAACAAAGAAACTAGTACATCATGGGAAGAAACTGAGTACTCTGACCTTAGTTATAAAAACTGTACCTCAGGATAACTAAATTAAGGATGAGAGGAAGACTTTCCTATATAAGTATTTCAGCTAATAAAAGAGAATAGGGAAAATATGATCTTTAGATGTGATGATGGTACGCTGAAAGAGTCCTTTTAGAGAAAAAAGAAAAGATGTCTGGAAATTGCTTCAAATGATCCAGAGAGGGGAAAGGGACAGGATTTATAAAAACAGTTACCCATGAGGGGATGAAGGTGGGTGACACAGTATGTAGGGGTTCACTATATTCTTCTACTTTGGATACATTTGAAATGCTCAAAGTGAAATAAAAATAAATTACCACCTGTAGGCTTAAAAAAGAAAAACAGCCCTCCCCTCTCTGCTCTGTAAGCACACGCCCTCACTACCACAGTGGAGGGAGGAAACTGCCCCTGGTCCCTAAGGCAGGACCTGCATTGTGTTCCCTGGGCTTGGATATAGCAGCCACTTAAGGAATGTCAGTTAAATAAGTAGGTAGGTGGTTGCTTGCAAGGCTGGGTACTACCCTGTTTCCCCGAAAATAAGACACTGTCTTATATTTATTTTTTCTCAAGAAGACACACTAGGGCTTATTTTCAGGGGATGTCTTCCTCTCCGCGAGGAAATGCATGGTGTGGCTACGCAGATATGCTGCATAGCCACGCCCATCACTAGGTCTTATTATTGGGGTAGGGCTTATATTTAACAAATGCATAGAAATCCTGCTAGGGCTTATTGTTTGGGAAAGTCTTATTTTCAGGGAAACACGGTATAGCTGACATCTCTCAAGATCACCTTCATAACCCAGAAAAAAGGAAGTATCTCCAGAATCTTGAAGGGAGCTAGGTATTTCTCACCTTTGAGGAAAGGAAATAATGGACTCCCTTTGCTGCATACCAAGGAAAACTGCCTCACGCCTCCAGAGCACCTATCAGCTCTGAGGGCATCCCTCTTTCACCCCTGAACTCCACCTTCACCCTTAGCCTCATCCTCAGAGACTCCCCCATCACCCACACACATACACACACAAGGCTGCTGAGCGTAACTTTAATAAGGCACAGGCTAACTGTTGCTTCTTGGAGTTAAAGGTCAAAGAGGAAGGGCATCACATCTGTAAGAAAGAGAGAGTCAAAAGGAGTGTGCTTCACACCTGCTGTTCCCTACGCCTGGATGCCCTCTCATAGCAGGTGAACTACTTCTCACTCAAGGCTCAAATGCCACCACTTCTCTGAAGCCTCCCTGACGTGCTCCAGGGAAAGACAAAGTCCCCTTTGGACACCTTTATCATTGTGCTTTTTCACACTGTTGGTCACCAGTCCCTAGGCTTCTGGGCTGTGAGTAGGACCAGTTGCACCTCAGTTGTTTGCCCATCAATTCCTTGTACAGCAAAGTCCCGCGCTTGTGGGGGAGATCTCACCTCAGGCCGGCATCACCCAAGGGTCTCAGCCCACTGCTATTCTCCCTGCTTCCTACAGAAGATGCCCCCCATGGCGTGAAATCCGCTTGTACACTCAGCCTTGGGTGAGAATCCTCAGGTCCCCTCCCCTCAGGCTCACACACAGCAAGGCCTCACACCTGGCTGGCTCATGCACTGCTGGATACTTTCCAGCCGAGTGGAGGCCAAGGCTCGGGCCTCCTCCTCGAAGCGGCGGTGTCCCTCCTCAGTCAACTTCCAGAGGCAGGAGCGAGGCCGTGTTTTGGCCCCACCTTGCAAATTGACTGGCACTTTCTCAAAACTGTCTCGGAAGCAGAGATTGTGACGGATGGTATTCTTCCAGCCTTCTGGAGCCGTCCGGAAAAAGGGGAAGTGTTGTCTGTGGACAGCAGGGAAGACAGATAAGGAAAGCATGGTTTCCTTGGGGGACACCCTAACTCTTGGGTGTTCTGTACTTCTCCAGGGGCTGGGAGCCTCAGCCCTTCTCTCGAGGTAGATAATGACAAGTAGACCTGGGATCTTTGCTGACTGAATAGGTGGCAAAACCACCTGGGGCACTGCTCATGTGACTCCTCCCTTTTAAGCCCAGTTTATTGCCCCTAGGCCCATTTTTCTCCCTCCCTCTGAGAATTTGGGACTTGGGTCACAGGATGAATGAAGCAGAATCAGGCCAACTAGGTGCTGTAAGAGGAATCCTAGTGAAGGAGGGACACCACTTGGCAGCTGACATTGGAGACAGTGGGTTCTTTACATAACTGGGGAAGGGTCTGAGCACTCCATTATACTCGTGTGGACAGGACTATCTGAGCTAAGGATAAATTTCTTCTCAACCGGGCTCTGCTGGCCCCTGGGGATACAGGGAGCTGTGCTAGGCAGTCTAGCCCTAGCAGAAGCAGGTGGGAAACCAGATTTTATACTGGTTAATCTTGAGAGGAATGTTGAAAGAAACTGTTAACCTGACAAAGAAAACTAAGCCAGGGGCGGTGCCTGTGGCTCCAAGGGGTAGGGCGCTGGCCCCATATACCGGAGGTGGCGGGTTCAAACCCAGCCCTCGGCCAAAAAAAACCCCAAAAAACTAAGCCATACAACAGGATGGCGTTTTTAGATGTGAACAGGGGTAGGAGTAGGCATACCCCTGTACATATGTGGGCACATGTGCACCTGGGAAACACAGAACTAGGATGCACGTATCCTTCCAGAGGGGGAAACTGAGTCAGCAGCCCAGGGCCTGGGACAGATAGGAAGGCGTCCGACCTAGGGCCCTGGGCCCCTCCCTTCTCCCTCCTCACAGGGCCCCCGGCACATACCGAGTGAAACTGTAGATCTGCTGTACGTTGAGGCCACAGGGGGAACTGTTTCTTAATGCCAGGGCAATTAGGTGGAAGTAATTGAGAGGGGGCCGGGACCAGAGCATCCCCGCCTGGCTGTTGGTTTGCCGAAGCCTCCGACTCTGGAGGGGGGCCCTTTTGTGAGGGGACGGGAGAGCCACAGAGGAGCCGTCATCTTGGTCCTCAGCCTCCTCTTCTGTGAGCTAGAGGAGCACAGAGTAGGAACTGGTCCTGACTCCTCAGCCTCTACTCCAGGGTGCAATGACAGGAAGGGGTAATGGTCTAGGGCCATCATCTGGGCTTTTCCCCAACCCAAGGTGATTTGTGAACCCATTAACCTTTTGCTACCCCTAAGAAAACAGAACTCCTATGTAACTTCCCCATGCCCACCCCATCTGCTGCCCAAACACAGCTTACAATCCCACAAATTCATACCTCCAAATTGTTGGGGGGAGAGGCAAACTGCTTCTGAGGGGGACACTGCTCGCTGGAAGAAAGGGGCAGCAATTCCACCCCTGTGGCCTCTAAGCCATTGGCATCTTCCTCCTTCTTAGGTGGCTGAAGGGAGGGGAGGCCACTTGCTAGATCCTCCCTCTTACTAGATTCTGGGACCTCCAGCTTTCCAGGGGGAAACACGATGTTAGGGTTTACCCACATCCACAGATTGGGCTCAATTTCTGGACCTGTGCAGAACAAAAACAGATTGTGTGCCACAGCACACTGGCTTTGAGTGTCCCTGGTATTCAGCCCAGGGCACAGACCCATGTGGGAGAAGTCATTACTCACCATCTTCATCAGCGTTGGCTTTTTTTTCTAGGGGTAATTTTGGTGGGTCAACTATTCGGAGTTTATATCTTGCAACTGGCAAAAAGACAGAAGACAGTCAAAACATTCTAGGATTTTCATTGTGACCCTAGGGTCCTGGGCCTTGAGGCTTCTCTGGAAAAAGATTGTGGGCCCTGCCTGGGGGTTATGACATCATCTTCTCCGGGTTTTCCCTTTACCTCTTCCCATGCTCTCATTCTCTGTGTTCGTTTCCTCTCACACCGAATATACTGTCCCCAAACAATCTCATGCATACCTGTGGCTTCAGGGACTATAATTTAAGGCTCAAATCTTTAACTCTAGCCTAGATGTCTCTGCTTGCCCTTAAGTAGAACTAGTTGTCTTTGTTTGAGTAACCCACAGACATTTCAAACTCAATGTTTCTGAAACCAGATTCCATCTTCTTGCTCTTCCTACTGTCTTAGCAGATGGCACCACCTTCCCCCTGGCTGTTTTGGGGCAGAAACCATTTTTTCCTCTCACTCTCTCCATTGAGTGTTATACAGATAGATGAATCTATAATTTTTTGTTTGGGAAATAGCATATTTTTTTTATTTCCTTGCTTGTTTCTTTTTGAAGAGCTTAGTAATTAGAAAGGATGCTCATTGTGTTGCAATGTTCAACAGAGAACTAGATAAAGGAAAAGTAGAAAAGATGAGAAAGGCAAAACTATCATTATGTGTAAGGAAAAAATGATTAACATAGAAGATCATGCTAAAATCATTACACAAATTATTGGAACCAGTAAGAATATAGCAAGTTTGTTGGATATAAGAACATACTAATCAGCCAGGCACCATGGCTCAGGCCTGTAATCCTAGCACTCTGGGAGGCCAAGGTGGGTGGATTGCCTGAGCTCAGGAGTTTGAGACCAGCATGAGCAAGAGCTGAGACCATGTCTCTACTGAAAAAAAAAAAAAAAAAAAAAAAGTCAGGTGTTGTGGCCAGAGCCTGTACGTAGTCCCAGCTACTCAGGAGGCTGAAGCAAGAGGACTGCTCAAGCCAAGAGTTTGAGGTTGTGAGCTAGAATGCCATGGTACTCTACTGAGTGTGAGTGACAAAGTGAGACTCTGTCTCCAAAAAAAAAAAAAAACTAATCAGTAAGGCTCTTTTATAAACCAGCATTAAAAATGAAGAATGTTAATTAAAAAAAATATACTCTTGACAGGTGGCACCTGTGGCTCAGTGGGTGGTCGCCAGCCCCATATACCGAGGGTGGAAGGTTTGAACCCGGCCCTAGCCAGACTGCAACAAAAAATAGCCGGTCGTTGTGGTGGGTGCCCGTAGTCCCAGCTACTCGGGAGGCTGAGGTAAGAGAATCCCCCAAGCCCAGGAGTTGGAGGTTGCTGTGAGCTGTGATGCCACAGCACTCTACCAATGGCAACAAAGTGAGACTCTGTTTCAAAAAAAAAAAAAAAGAAAAAATATATTCTTGGCTCACCACCTATAACTCAGCAGCCAGGGTGCCAGCCACATACAGGAAAGCTGGCAGGTTCGAATCTAGCTTGGGCCTGCCAAACAACCATGACAACTACAACCAAAAAATAGCTGGGCATTTGGTGGGTACCTGTAGTCCCAGCTACTTGGGAGACTGAGGCAAGAGAACTGCTTGAGCCCAAGAGTTGGAGGTTGCTGTGAGCTGTGATGCCACAGCACTCTACCCAGAGCGACAGCTTGAGACTCTCTCTAAATAAATAAATAATAAAAATAAAAATATACTCTTTACAGGCTCGGCACCTATATCTCAGTGGTTAGGGTGCCAGCCAAATACAATGAGGCAGGCGGGTTCGAACCCAACCCAGGCCTGCTAAACAACAATGGCACCTGCAACAAAAAAAATAGCCAGGTGATGGGTGGCGCCTGTGGCTCAAAGGAGTAGGGTGCTGGCCCCACATACTGGAGGTGGCAGGTTCAAACCTGGCCTCGGCCAAAAACTGCAAAAAAAGAAAAAAAAAAATAGCCGGGTGTTGTGGTGGGTGTCTGTAGTCCCAGCTTACTTGGGAGGCTGAGGCAAGAGAATCACTTAAGCCCAAGAGATAGAGGTTGCTGTGACCTGTGATGCCACGGTACTCTACGAGGGTGACATAGTAAGACTCTGTCTCAAAAAAAAAAAGAAAAAAATATATATGCATATATTTATACTATTTATAATAGCAATCAAAATTATGAAGTATCTAGGAGTTAACCCATGAAAGAATGGACTAGACCTTTCTAGGGAAAAAAAGGTAATCACCACTTAAGAACATAATCCCTGGTTATCTAGTGGTTAGGAAGACAAAAAAAATCACAGAGGATTTGAACAAAGACATAATACATATTAGAAAGATGCCAGTCATCCTTAAATTCAGCAATAAATTTTATGCACATACTATAATATATAAGAAAGGTTCTACATAGTAAAAAATCACCATAAGCAAAAAATAAAAATAAGCCAGAAAAAATAATTATCTCAAGGTTCTCAGTTCTAATATACAGAAAGAGTCTACAAATCAGTAAATAAAAGGCCAACACAAACTTACAAATGGGCAAAACATACAAGTCAGCATTCAGAAGGAAGGAACACGTGAATGACAAATAAGATGTTACACTTGATCTTAGCCAAAAGGCCAAGAAAGGATAAAGATCCTTAGCCTTATTAGTAATAAGAAAAGCACATGGCTCGGCGCCTATGACTCAAGTGGCTAAGGCGCCAGCCACATACACCTAAGGTGGCAGGTTCGAATCCAGCCCGGACCCGCCAAACAACAATGATGGCTGCAACCAACAAAATAGCCTGGTGTTGTGGCGGGCGCCTGTGGTCCCAGCTACTTGGGAGGCGGAGGCAGGAGACTCGCTTGAGCCCAGGAGTTGGAGGTTGCTGTGAGCTGTGATGCCAGGGCACTCTACCCAGGGGGATAGCTTGAGGCTCTGTCTCAATAAAAAAAAAGAAAAAAGAAAAGCACATAAAATAAGGAGATACCACTTTACACCAATCAAATAGACAAGAATTATAAAGACAGATGATACCAAGTGTTGTGAAAGATGAGTGAAGAAATAGAATCTCTTTTTTCTTTTTTTTTTTGAGACAAAGTCTTCCTTTGCCACCCTGGGTAGAGTGATGTGCCATCACAGCTCACAGCAACCTCAAACTCTTGGGCTCAAATGATTCCCTTGCGTCAGCATGCTGAATGGCTGGGAATACAGGCACCTGCCACAAAGCCCAACTATTTTTAGAGACCCGGGTATTCTTGCTCAGGCTGGTCTCAAACTCTCAACTCAGGCGATTCACCTGCCTCAGCCTCCCAGAGTGCTGAGATTACAGGTGTGAGTCAGAATCCCTTCTTATACTGTAGTCCTGTCTGAGTATCATCTGGGACAGCCACTGTGAAAAGCTATCAGGCAAGGCAACAATTTACCACATCTTACCAGCTACTCCTCGGTGTGCCTATCCAAGTTAATTTAGGAGCTCATATACTAATCAGTCTTCACTCTTACTGTCATCTGCTGATAGTAATGGTCACTCCCCCTCATTTAGCTTACGGTGTCACTCTCCTCAGCACTTCTCGTGCCTTATATCTTGGCTATTTCTTGAACTCTTCTCCAAAGATTTTGCCTTCTGCCCTGCTTTAGACAATTCCTCAGTCAGAACCTAAACCAATAACCTCAACCTCTCCATAACCTCATTTATGCACCACCACCTGTCTGTTCCACAATCTTCCCCTCTCCTGGGTCATCAATTTTTGTCATTATCGGATCATTCCCATCAGCATTCAAACATGCTGTTGACTCTCTCATCCCAAAGAACTTACTTGCTGCCACTTTCTGTAGCAGACCACTCCTATTACTCCTACTCTTAAGGAAAATCTCCTTGAGAAAGGATCACCTATACAAGCAGTCCCCACATTACAAACATCCGATTGACACATGACTCACACTTACAAACCAAGACAATTGGACGTAATTGGTAAATGCACCTGTTCCAGTGTAAGGACAAATTCAACTTAAGAGCAAACCTACAGAACCCATCTCATTGTAACCTCGGAACTGCCTGTACTTTGTCTCTACTTCCCTTTCTTCCATTCTTAAACCCTCTATCAGGCTTCTCATTCTACCACTCCAACAAAACCACTCACCACCTCTGCTCTGCTAAAAATCCAATCTCATTCTGCTCACCTGACCACTCCATCCATGAAACACTTTCTTTCTTTTTTTTTTGTAGAGATAGAGTCTCACTTTATCGCGATCGGTAGAGTACTATAGTGTCATCGCACAGCTCACAGCAACCTCTAAGTCCTGGAGGTGATTCTCTTGTCCCAGCCTCCCGAGTATTTGGGACTATAGGCGCCCACCACAACGCCCGGCTATTTTTTTGTTGCCGTTTGGGCCGGGTTTGAACCCACCACCCTCGGTATATGGGGCTGGTGCCCCATGAAACATCCTTCACTTGGTTTCCAGGACACCACAGTGACACTGTTTAGATTCTCAAAAGTCTTTCTGGCTAATTACTGCTCTTCTTTCCAATCTCTTTACAATGGAATGCCCTATTCTCACCACTCAAAAGTCTACACATACGGTCCACACCTCCCTTCCAGAACTCCAGGCTTATGTGTGGGTCATTATAAAAGTCTTGAGATACAGAAAAAGTAAGAAACACAAAATCGGCTCGGCTCCTGTAGCTCAAGCGGCTAGGGCACCAGCCACATATACCAGAGCTGGCAGGTTCGAATCTGGCCCGAGCCTGCGAAACAACGACAACTACAACCAAAAAATAGCCAGGTGTTGTGGTGGGTTCCTGTAGTCCCAGCTGCTTGGGAGGCTGAGGCAAGAGAATTGCTTAAGCCCAGGAGTTGGAGGTTGCTGTGAGCTGTGATGCCACAGCCAGGGCGATAGCTTGAGGCTCTTGTCTCAAAAAAAAAGAAGAAACACAAAATCCCCACAAACAGAAACAAAGCCTTCTTAGCAACACTGATAAGCCGAGCACGTTGAAACCTGCACATAAATCAGAAAGGACACAGTCAACTATGATACTTGGAAGTGAAATGATAGACCATAACACGGTCTGTCTCAAAACTTTTGTAGTGAACTACATATATCCAACAGCCTGTAACATCTCTCCTTGGATGTCTAATGACTCTAACTCACCATGTGCAGAAGAGAACTCTTGGTCTTCCTTCCTAATAATCTGTTCTATAAGAAGCCTCTCCACTCTCAGTACAGGGCAACATGATCAGCCAAAAATTTAAGAGTCAGTATTGCTCTGTCTTATACCACACATCCAATGCATCAGCAAACCCAGCCAGTTCTATTTTCTCACCACCAACACTGCTCCTATGCTGGTCTAGTCTATTATCTCATATCTGGTCTAAATCTCATCTGTCTACATCTACAGTGTGCCCTCAACACAACAGCCACTCTGGTCTTTTTCAGATATAAATCATGCAGGAACAGCCACATAACTTGTAGGGCCCTGTGCAGAAAACATGGGGTTCCGTGTTCAAAAATTGTTTAAAATTTCATTATAAGACAGCGATAGCAGAGCGTTAACTCAATCACAGGCACCTATGGAACTTTGTAGGTCATACACTCAGGATGCAGGCCCTGAGATGATGTCACTCCCTCTGCTCAAAACCTTACAACCATGTCTCATTTTATTTAAAGTCAACCCCAAAGTCCTTAAAGTAGAAGACAAGGAATTCCTGCTCTTGTTCACACCTTTCCTAGCTCTCTTATTTACTATGATCTAGCCTTAATGATAGCTGCTTTACTATTCCTCAGATACCCCAGGCACATTCTTTCTCTCTCTCTCTCTCTTCTTTTTTTTTTTGAGACAGAGTCTCACTTTGTTGCCCCGATAGACTGCCATGGCATCACAGCTCACAGCAACCTCCAACTCTTGGGCTCAAACAATCCTTTTGCCTCAGCCTCTTAAGTAGCTGCGACTACAGGCGTCCACCACAACACCCAGCTATTTATAGAGATGGCGTCTTCCTATCGCTCAGGCTGATCATGAACTCCTGAGCTCAGGCAATCCACTGGCCTTGGCCTCCCAGAGTCCTAGGATTACAGGCATGAGCCACTGCTTGGGCCCAGCACATTCTTGAGGACTGTTCTTTTTGCCTGGAGAACTTTTCCTCCAAATAGCCTCTGGGCTCACTCCCTCCCCTCATTCACCATTTTGCTTAAATAATTATGTTCCCTACCAAGTTCAATGTGACCAGCCTATTTAAAACTATAGCTGCCACTACCTCCTTCCCCTATTCCTGAGCACTCTTATCCAGTTCTTTTTTTTTCTTTTGGTAGAGACAGAGTCTCACTTTATCACCCTCGGTAGAGTACCATGGCATCACATAGCTCACAGCACCCTCCAGCTCTTGGGCTTGGGGGATTCTCCTGCCTCAGCCTCCCAAGTAGCTGGGACTACAGGCCACCACAATGCCCAGCTATTTTTTTTTTGTTGTTGTTGTTGTTGTAGTTTGGCCGGGGCTGGGTTTGAACCTGCCACCCTCAGTATATGGGGCCAGCCCCCTACCCACTGAGCCACAGGCGCCACCCCTCTGATCCAGTTCTTTTCCACCATCATGTATTATCACCTTGCAGCACACTATATAAATCTACTCATTTATCATGTAGATTATCTGACTTCCTCCGGTAGACCATAAGCTCCATGAAGCCATGTCTGTTCAGTTCACTGCAGATGGTGAGTGTCTACAACAACGCTGGGCCAACTGGAGGTGCTCATACCTATTTCTTGAATGAACGAGCATGTTCATTACCGTGAATTATGGTGGCAAAGAGCTGGAGGCAATCTAGATATAAGAAAAGTTAAACCGTAAAAGGCAATATATGTAGATGATGGAATACTACACAAGTCAGAAATAATGAACCAGATGGCCTTTAGCAACACCAAAACAATAGCTCTAAAAAAACAATGAGTGAGGAAAACAGACATTAAAGGAATTAGGGTGGAGGGGTGGAGGAGGTAACAGAGTAATAGGGTGGAGGTTGAAGGGGGAAAATGACTAGAGTTAATATTATCAAGGACCTTGCCAAGCAGATGGCAAAAGTACCATGAATGGAGGGGTAGTTACTACCTCAGCTCTTGACACCTTAAGTCTGAAAGAAAAAATAAAATTTAAAAGACCCGGATGGTCAGTTACCCATTCAGCAAACCTCCAGCACGTCTGTGTCGGGCAGCGTGTAAGAGGTGAGGATACAGCCGTGAACAAATCCGATAAACATTTTTTCAAAATGCGTAGTATGGCAAATGGCGATAAGCACGGAGCAGAAAAGGCCTGGAAGAGGCCTAGAACGTTCTTGGAGCGAGCGACTCAGCTCCGGTTGGTTAGATTGAAAGGCACGGATTTTTAGGTGAGACCTTTGCCCTCGGGGGGTTTCCAGTCGAGGCAGGAACCAACCACCCCTCCCGACTGGAGTCCGCGAGTGGGTGGGGGGAGGGGGCTCCGGGAACTCAGCAGCAGTGGGGTCTGGGGGGGTAGGTCCCCGAAGCCAGCCGCCCACCCCGGCAGCTGGGGTGAAGGCTGGGGGGGTCACCGTGGCCCCGGCTCCCGCGAGCCCCACCCCGGCTGCCGACACGCCCCTCCCCCACCCACCGCGCCCACCCGGGGCACTCACGGTTCTGCTCCGCTAAGGGAAGGTGCGCGGTGGTGAAGGCCAGAAAGGACTCGTTCCCCATGTCCCAGTCCAGCAATCCCGGGACCTGGCCATGGAGGCTGTCCCAGAAGTCGAGACGTTCGAGTTTGAGGTCCACCTTCAGCGAAAGGAGAGACCCGCGCGGGGTGGGAGAGGCGGGAGACTAAGGTTAGGCCTGGGAAGTACTTCCTCAAATGAGCCGGCTCAGATTGAATTAGGTCGGGCGCATCTCAGGTGTGGAGGGTCCCATTTGACGCCTTTAATCGTCTCTAGACTCTGCCCGACACGTCTTTCCTCGATCCCTGCCCTTGTATTTCGGGATTTGAGGACCTTGGGGGCTCAGAAGAGAGGCATCCCAGACCATCTTCCCCTTCTACATTTGCACAAAACTCTTATTTGGAACAGACAGTGATCCCATGAGAGTATTAAGAACTGTTTTCTAGAAGTTCTGGAAGGTTTCATGGCTTATCCAAGATCACATCTGCGGTAGATGGTGGAGATAGCATTAGATTGAATGGTGACTTAATTTTTTAAATTCTGCTTTTAATAATTTCTAATTTACAGGAAAATACCCAGAATGCTATAAAAATAATTCCTGTAATACCTTTTCACCTAGATTTACCATTACTCCAATTAATAAAATTAAAAAATATTTAGATTTTTCTCTCCATATATAATACATAGTATAGGACATGTATTATTTTTTTCCCAAACTATCTGAGAGTAATTTGCAGACATCATGTGGCTCTATCCAGAAATAATTCGGTTATTTCCTAAAAACAAGGATACTGGCTTACATGACTAGAAAATTAGAAATCAGAAAAATATAAAAATCAGAAAATGTAACATTGATTCAACATTGATCAATATTCAATATAAAGATCTTATTCAAATTTCATCAGTTGTCCCAATAATATTATTTATATATATTTTCCCCTCATTTGTAATTCACTTCAGGATCATGTAGTACAGTTAATGTCCATGTCTCTTTAATATCCATTAATCTAGAGGAGTCTCTCTGCTTTTATAATCTTTTATAACATTGACTTTTTCTTTTAATCTTTTCTTCTGATAACATTGACTTTTATTTATTTATTTATTTTGAGACAGAGTCTCACTTTGTCGCCCTTGGTAGAGTGCCAGTGGCATCATAGGTCACAGCAACCTTAAACTCCTGGGCTCAAGCGATCCTCTTGCCTCAGGCTCCCAAGTAGCTGGGACTACAGGCGCCCACCACAATGCCTGACTGTAGAGACCCAGTCTCACTCTTGCTTAGGCTGGTCTCCAGCTGGTGAGCTCAGGCAATCCATCCACCTCGGCCACCAGAGTGCAATATTGACATTTTTGAAGAACAGGAGCCACTTATTTTGTAGAATGGCACTCAATTTGGGTTTGGCTTATGTCTCCTCATAGAGTTAGTTTATGCATTTTTGACAAGAATACCGTAGAAGTGATGTTTTTCTTTTCTTTTCTTTTTTGAGACAGAGTCTCACTATGTAGCACTTGTGTCACAGCTCACAGCAACCTCAAACTCCTGGGCTTAAGCTATTCTCTTGCCTCAGCCTTCCAGGTAGCTGGGACTACAGGTACCTGCCAGAACACCCAGATATTTTGTTGTTGTTGTAGTTGTCATTGTTGTTTAGCAGGCCTGGGCCGGTTTTGAACTCACAACCCCAGTGTATGTGGCCGGCACCCTAGCTGCTGAGCTACAGGCAGTGAGCCAGTTTTTCTTTTCTTTTTTTCATTTTTTTGGACACAAAGTCTCACTTTCAGTAGAGTGTTGTGGCGTCATAGCTCATAGCAACCTTCAACTCCTGGGCTTAAGCGATTCTCTTGCCACAGCTTCCATAGTAGCTGGGACTACAGGCGCCCACCACAACACCTAGCTATTTTTTTGCAGTTTGGCTGGGGCCGGGTTCAAACCCACCACCCTCTGTATATGGGGCCAGTGCCCTACCCACTGAGCCACAGGCGCTGCCCCAGTTTTTCTTTTCTTAATACACATCAAGAGGCACATGATGTCGCTTTTTCTCTGTATTATTAGTGATGTTAATGTCAATCATTTGCTTAGTGGTGTCCACCAGGTTTTTCTACTGTAAAGACAATTCCCCACCTCCACCCCTGACTCTGAGACAGAGTCTCACTCCTAGGCTCAACCAAACCTCTTGCCTCAGCCTCCCAAGGAGCTGGGACTACAAGAACCTGCCACAATCCCCCAGGTAATTTTTTCTGTTTTTTTTTTTTTTTTTTTTTTTGGCCGGGGCTGGGTTTGAACCCACTACCTCCAGCATATGGGGCGGGCACCCTACTCCTTGATCCACAGGCACCGCCCATGGTGTTTTTTTTTTTTTGAGAGACAGTCTTACTTTGTCGCCCTCGGTTGAGTGCTGTGGCCTCACACAGCTCAGAGCAGCCTCCAACTCCTGGGCTTAGGAGATTCTCTTGCCTCAATTTTTTCTATGTTTTGTAGAGATAGGAATCTGCTCTTGCTCAGAGAGGATCTCTAACTTCTGAACTCAAGGGATCCTCCTTCCTCAGCCTCCCAGAGTGCTAGGATTACAGGTGGAGCTACCACACCTGGCCATCTTTTTTTTCTTTTGTAATTAGTAAATAATTTGTGAGGAGACACTCTGAAATTATCTAAAACCCTGTTCCTTATCAAACTTGACTCACTAGCACTCATTTATGATTACTGCCTGAATCAATCATTATTATGATTGGTTGTAAATGATAATATTTCTAAATTCATCATTATTTCTAATTTATTTAGGTAGCATTCTATTGTAAGGAGGAGCTTTTGCTTCTCCCTTATTTGTTTGTTGTTAAATATGGACTCAACATATTCTTATTTAATGAATACATTGGATTCAATGAATGAATGCAATTAATGAATGGATTATAATTCATTACTATTATTATTTGGGCTTTTCTTTTTCTTAGAGTTTCACTTTGTCACCCTCAGTAGAGTGCCATGGCATTATACCTCACAACAACCTCAAACTCCTGGGCTTAAGTGACTCTCTTCCCTTAGCCTCCAGAATACCTGGGACTATAGGCACCTACTACAATGCCTGGCTATTTTTTTAGAAACAGGGTCTTGTTCTAGCTCAGGCTAGTCTTAAACTTCTAAGCTCAAGCAATTCTCCTGCCCTCAGCCTTCCAAAGTGCTAGGATTACAGATGTGAGCCAGTGTGCCTGGCCTGTTATTAATATTTAATAATAATCCTCAAATTGCCCTGTGGAAGAGGTAATGCCCTCTGGTTCCTTTGTGAGGCATCCTGGGATTCCCTATCAGAGCCACCCTGTATTCTTTTGCATGTTGCTTGTTTACTACATCAGAAACTCTAAAAGTAGTACTAGAGGACCCTCAAATAAATGTTGTTGTTTTCAATTTTTTTTTGTAGGAACAAGGTGTTGCTATGTTGCCCAGGCTGGCCTCAAACTCCTGGCCTCAAGTGATCCTCCTGCCTTGGCTTCCTGAAGTTACAGGCATGAGCCACCATACCCGGCATAACAACTTCCTTTTTAAAATTTGCTAAAGTACATATATTATACATCAATAAAATTTGTTGGCTCAGTGCCCATAGCACAGTGATTATAGCACCAGCCATATACACTGAGGCTGGTGGATTCAAACCTGGCCTGGGCCAGGTAAACAACAATGACAACTGCAACAGCAACAAAAAAATAGCCAGGTGTTGCGGTGGGCACCTGTAGTCCCAGCTACTTGGGAGGCTGAGGAAAGAGAATTGCTTAAGCCCAAGAATCTGAGGTTGCTATGAACTGTGACTCCATGGCTGTCTGCTGAGGGTGACATAGTAAAACTCTGTCTCAAAAAAAATTATTTTGTTTCAATAAATATGGTTTTGCCTGGAGTGGTGGCTCATGCCTATAATCCCAGCACTCTGGGAGGCTGAGGCAGGTAGATTGCCTGACCTCACAGGTTCCAGACCAGCTTGGAATCTCGTCTCAAAAAATAGCCGGATGTTGTGGCAGGCACCTGTAGTCCCACCTACTTGGGAGACTGAGGCAAGAGAATTGCTTGAGCCCAAGAGTTTGAGGTTGCTGTGAGCTATAACACCGTGGCACTCTACCAAGGGTGACAAAATGAGACTCCGTCGCAAAAATAAATAAATAAGGTTTTATCAGAACACAATAAATAGTTTGCTTAGAATAAATGAATAAATTTTTTAAGTTTTCTAGGAATAAATAAAAGTTTGCTAAGACTTTACCTTTAATATCGATAATAATTTTAATGATAATTTTCCTAATTATAAAGATAATACATATTTGATGCAGAAAACTTGGAAATGTAGAAAGCCTAAAGGGAAAAGCAAGAAAACCAAAATTATTCTTTGTATTGCTCAGAGATACTAATTGATCGAATTTATTTTTTTTCTTTTTTGGTGACAGAGTCTCAAGCTATGGCCCTGGGTAGAGTGCTGTGGCGCTACAGCTCACAGAAACCTCCAACTCTCTTGGGCTTACAAGATTCTCTTGCCTCATCCAAGTAGCTGCGACCACAGGCACCTACCACAATGCCCAGCTATTTTTTGGTTGTAGCTGTCGTTGTTGTTTGGCAGGCCTGGGCTGTATTCAAACCCACCAGCTCCGGTGTATGTGCCTGGCACCCTAGCTGCTTGAGCTACAGGCACCAAGCCATTTTTTTTTTTATTTTGAGACAGAGTCTCACTATGTCACCCTCGGTAGAGTACCATGGCATCACAGTTCACAGCAACCTCAAACTTTTGGATTTAAGTGATTATCTTGTCTCAGCCTCCCAGGTAGGTGGGACTACAGGTGCCTGCCGCAATGCCCAGCTTTGTTGTTGTTGTTGTTGTTTGGCAGGCCCAGGCCAGGTTCAAACCAACCAGTCCCAGTGTATGTGGCTGGCATCCTAACCGCTGAGCAATGGGCACCAAGCTGATTGCATTTTTTTTTGAGCAGGGTTTATTTTATTTTATTTTATTTTGAGACAGAGTCTCAATTTCTTGTCCCTGGTAGAGTGCCCTGGCATCATAGCTCACAGCAACCTCAAACTCTTGGGCTCATGGGATTCTCTTGCCTCAGCCTCCAAGTAGCTGGGACTGTAGCCACCCATCATATCACCTGGCTA